GGAAAGAGATGTAATAAACTTCAGTACAGACTTTCTATACACGGTCAAAGAAAATTTCCAGTTACATCCTGAAGTGATAAACACCAAAACAGTAATAGTTTAAACTGTTTTAAAATCTGCTTCTCACATAGGAAAAGGTCAGTCAAAATTCAGATCTTTAAGTAGATCCTTCTATGGTTATTAATTTCATTATAATCATGTGTGGTTTATAATATGCTCCAAATGAAGGTGAAGGTCAGCATACACTGATCCCTACCACAGGTATGAAGGTAAGATGAAGTCATAAGCACATCACAATGTACTTTGTATGTCAGTTTTAACTGGTGGCATCTTTCAGCTGAAACAGCAATATAATCTGGCATGCTAGGAATAGCTCATGAACACTGTCAGGACATGAACTGCAAATTTCCTCAAACCTCCTGCAATGGATGCCAGGAAACAGACAAGCAGGAGCTGCTCTTGCATGTGACTATTCCAGTCTAGCAATGTTCTAGCTAATAGCTCAGCTTCAGCAGATCTGTAGTTCATTCTCTAAGCAATAGATTTTTGCTTTTAAGTTTTTCAGTTCCCCTTGAATTTTATGTGTCAGTCTGTTTCCTTGGAGGACCTCGCGCAGCACTGCAAGGTCCTGGTCCGGTCCAAAGTTCAGAGTCACCTAAGCAGGTAAAAAAAACAGATTAAGAAAAACAAAGCTGTACAGAATACAATTTAGAGAGTATTATGATGGATATATGAGGGAGATAACTCTAAAGGAGACCCTTTGTAGCTAGCAAAGAGGATGTGTCAATTAATAGCACATCTCCAACAGAAAGCTGCTCTAGAGCCAAAAATGAAGAACAAAGCTTTCATACCATTACGTTATTAGATTGCTGGCAAGGAAGAAATCTGGATACCCATAGCGTGTTGACACCTTTCCAATTCCTCCATTATTTAGAGACCCACAAAAAGAAGTTAAAATATTTATCACATAACTTGTATCTAGCTCTAAACACCTCATCTAAAATGATGACATTTTATCACCTTTGCTGCTAGAAACAGAGTGGTCTAAGTGCTGTGGCCAACACGGTGCCTTCTGACGCAGACGATTCAAGAGCAGCTAAGCACAATGCCTAGGCTCAGGCCGTGCCGTTTGGCCTGCACTGAGCTGAACAAAGCTGTTGGATCATCAGAATTCCTGATGGCAAGCTGGCCAGGGCTGACATTTCCTGTCACCCTGGAGCAGGACAGCATGCCAGCCCAGTCACTTTCACGGGCACAGCCTTGGAAGCTGCTCTCAAACCCCTCTATTCTCATCTTATTGCCATCATGCTGTTCTTGGTCAAATATTTAAACAGGCAAATCAGGAAATTTAGTCATCTGTAGTCATTTTGACCACAAGTGCTAAGGAGGATTTAACGATCACTCTGGAGACTTCTGGCAAGTGTTTTGTTCCTCTGCCCTCTTGTGGTTAGCAGTGTCAAGAAAACGAGAATACAATTAGGAGCACACCCACAGCTACAAAACATACAGGTCTGTAGTAAAGGTACCAAAGGCAATTTCCCCCATTCACATATGCTGTTTAGTCCTCAAAAAATAAAGTTTAAAAACACACAGCCCCTCAAAATATATACATTTAAAAAATGGAAGCCTTTAGTCAAGATAAATGCATTAACCTAAGTTTACTGAACTGTACACCAAAAGCAGAGGGCAAAAGTGACTCCATAGCACTGCCAGACTCCTGAAGGAGAGTCTAAGCTACACCATCCTCTCAAACATGTCTTAGATAAATATCTCATCTTAAACTCCAAGCAACATCAAGGCTGTGGCTTCCCTTCTAAGCTGTTCTGATGTTCAACCTACACATCTGGAAGTTACTACAGAGTACACGGTTTCAGCTTCCAGCCATTCCTTCTGCAGGGATTTTTGTAGAGTCACAAACGAGACATTAACAAAGTAAGAAACAGAATGTTCACAATACTTAAGCTGGTGATCTACCTCTGACTGAAACAAACCAAACACTATGGCTGATGAAGGAAAACCAATCGTTATTTTCTTTGCAGGATAAACTGCTGAAACAAACTGCTTTATCGCCCTGCAATTTTGAGACATTTAACTGAGATACAGGTACCACGTAAGAACTTTCAAGGTGGAAACAAAAATACACAGCTAATGTATAGTCAGGGCAGTTCTGGCAAGCTTGATGCCTGAATGATTAACAAATACAAATCTTTCTTGCTTTATGTAATTCCTAAGAGGCAAGTTTTGTCAAATATTGATACCTAAAGGAGCACTTAAGAAATAAATGAATTCCTTAACTCTTGGGAAATACGGCACTCAAATACTTAGAATTCACCTCTATAGGGTAAGCCCATAATAGTCTGCCTCAGAAATGCTTAGCTGTTACCTTAAAAAGCTGCTTCTCTACATCTTTCAGCTTCTGCTGAAGCTGTTTAATGTCATTCTTGAAGCCTTCCACTTCCATATTACGACGTTTTTCCAAGGCCTCACATCGCTGAGTCATCAGCTTCAGGCGCTTCCCCATCTTTTCTGAGCGTTCCTATGGAGATGAAAACTCAGTAGGGTATACAAAATAAAGGCTGGAAAATCACCCCATTGCTAGCAGATGATCACAGACTAATTACCTTCAAGAGCTCTTTGCCAGCATCTCTCTCCTCACGAATCCTAGCCAGCTCACCTTCTATGGTGACACACTGCTCTCTGTACATGTTTGATAGGTGTTGCTGCTGCATTAGCTTTTCTTGCAGTGACTAGAACACAGGAGGGACAGAAAGAATCAACTCAAAAGACAGTGCTCAAAATCTCTCCTACTCTGAAAAAGCAAAGTGTGATAAGATATAGCAGGCAAATAAAAAGTAACGACTAGAGCTACAGTAATGAAATAAGTAGGTAAGGACAATATTCTAACGCCACTTCCCTTGCAAAATCCTTTTATTTAAGTCACCGATTCTGTGTGGCTGCTTATTATCAGTTACACTCTCCTCATCCCCTTAAAAATAATATTCAACTCCTGCTGTAACTCCCCTTTTCACAGCTGCTGGCCCAACATCTGCATTCAGTGGTAGATTAAAACAATTCCTGATTGTCTGTTTTCCCACTTCAGCTCTCTCAGCTTCTCACTGGAAGTATACTAGAAGTGGAAGAAAAATCCTGACTACTGTAGAAGAGCTGGAGGACATCAGTTGGAAGGACTCCTTCTCCCCTGACAGCAGCAAGGAAGATCCAGACATGGCACTCTGAGTCCATCAGCTCAGGGCACTGACACTAAAGGAAAGGCCTGTGCAACCAGCAGGTTAAAAATTGTTGGCCCACACGGCTTACAGAACTAGGGATTTGCTCTGGGCATGAAAGAAACTGACAGTGCCACACTACCATAAATCCTAACTACACATTTTAGCTGAAATTCGCAAGCAATGCTGATTTTGAAGCAGGAGAGGGTTTTTTTAGATTAGTGGCAACAACATAACTTACGGCGAGCCAGTGTAGCTTTGAAAGAGCTGCTAGCTACTGCCTACTGTGCCAAACCCAGATGCTTGCCATTTTCTTGTCAAAAACCGTTAAAGAGCCTCCACATAGAACAAAAAAAATTACCTTTATTTCTCTGCTGTGGAGTTTTGAAGCTTCATCACCTGCTCGAAACATCTTCTTGGTATCCTTCCTCTCCTTTTTTCCTGGTTCACTGCTGAGCTGATCCAGCTGTTTGCCAAGTTTCCTCAACAGACTGTCCTTCTCTGCCATCCATGCTTTCTCATTGGCTCTAGCATCAAACTTGAGCTGCAGAAGGTCACGGGTACTCTCATATAAGAGATTTTGGGTCTTATGGAGCCTGCAAAAAGGGATTCCACTGGAGTTAATTCACTTCTTTCCTAGTTCCTACCTTAATTTCCTCAGTCATCACTGCAAATTGGAAGGAGCCTAGAAGAGAAAGACAGGTGCTCTCCTAATGAGTTCAGTTCTTCTCATCTACTGTAAGAAGTGCTATTCTTCCAATGTGAAATAGGATTTTTAATATGTAGATCACTGTACTTAACTTCTTCCACACACACTACCATGTGGCTGCATAATTTGCTTCTGCTGCAGGGAGCGACACACCCAAAGTCATAATGTTTCTATGGTTCCATCTCTTCCATCTCATGACTACATCATGGTTGTTCTCTCACACTCACTTATCTCTGGTAGTTTTGATCTTGTCCTGGTCCCTCTGGTGCTGGACCTGGGCCTCCTCCATGTGAATCCGTCTGTCCTCTAGTAGTGCCTCAACATGTTCCTTGTATAATCGTGTCTGTTCTTCTATCTGAGCTTGCAGGGCCTCCACCTGAATAAACAAAGACATTACTAAGACCTCACACCAGTTCTGCTCCTGTCTTTGCAAGTCTCTTAAATTCCAAGATTCAGATCAAAGACTCTACCTGATAACACCTTTGGCAGTTCCAATTTCCCCAACTTTTGTTTTTGTTTTAGTGCTAAGTATTTCAAACAACTAAAACATTTTCTAAAAATCATGCTATAGGCTACCATCAACAATACCTAAATTCTAGGAAGGCAGCAAGTCCAACAAAATAAATTACTCAACCAGAATTAATTACTAAATGTAAACAAGATAACGAGTGAAGAAGAGGTTGCAAGAATCCTGATCTAGGGCACATACTCAGGGAGATAAACTGGAACAAGTCATCGAAACATGTGCATCTGGCCTTTGTGTAAGAAGCTAGAAACTATTTAGATTGCTTATTTTATGACAATTTTGTATGATGCTTTTGTCAGAGAGTAAATGTTGTTAGACAGCTAATGGGCTGTTAGGTCAGTCACCACCCCCTTGAACAAATAATAACAACCACCATTTCCTGCACAAGTTTGCCCTTTCTTTGCTTTTCATGATTCATCCTTCCTCATATTTTATATATAGCTTCTGGTATCATCCCCAAGTTATGATTCTGCACATTTTATCTTTCATTCTGTCATGCTACCTACACCCAGTCTTTCACTGAAGTCTAGCAAAGGGCATACCTCATTGTACAAGTGCATCTCCTTGGGGCTGCCTCACACTGTGTCAGACACATTGCTTTTGTCAGACTTGCACAAAACACCCACCCCTGAAGATCTTCTGTAGGTTTCATGCAAATTCATAGTCACTAACAGATTATGGGGGCTAACACCAACTACACGTTCTGCATTTAAAGGGCAACAAATTTCAGTTGACAGCATTGGAACATCTGCTTACAGAAAGCTCTGAGAATCCGACCCGAGTTCTTAAATCTACATTCATTGCAAGAAACAGCTAAGTACACTGACAGAAAGTGTGAATCCATGCTAAAATGCAGGAACTGATAAAACTGAAACATCTACATCTTATCTAACCAGATAGCATATTTTTTATCATAATTTCCTGGCAGCTAGGAACTATGTCCATCAGTTAGCAAATGATTTTACCTGTAGTAGAAGTGTTTGATTATCTCTCGGGTACCTCTCAGGACTTTCTGCTTTCTCTCCTTTTGCTGTTGGTTTCGAAGTGCTCCTCTTGGGACCTATTGCGGAAATATAACAAAAGTAGAAAAGGGTTTTCCAATCTCTTGTAGGACCTTTCCAAGCATGACATACTGTGTGTTCTGGTGGGTCTAAAGGAACAGGGCAAAGCTTGCCACTGCTACAGTCACAAAGACTTCTAGGAGGGCTAGCTGAAAGAATTTCAGAACTTAGGGTGATCACATAACTTTACCCCACTCACAGTATTTAAGCAACCTGCTCATTTTCTTGGCATCTATAGAAAGCAAACTTAACACATTATCTTAAATAAATGACCAACAGGCAGATGTCACAGCTGCAAAAACATCAAGCCTCCAGTGAGTTTTGAGTTGTTGGCTAATTCCAGTCAATCTGGAAGAGGCAATTCTTTCAAAAGAGAAAATTAGTATGTAGGCACAGAGACCCACACTACTGTCTACACTGAAGGCAGGCAGAATCTCACACCTTGGAGTGGCTGTGGCAAAGGTGCCTGTCCAGTTGGTACCTGCAGAGTTGCAGAGCAGCCACCCAAAAGTCCTAGCAGACTCTTCCTTAGATGAGCAGATCACAGACATGAGAGCCAACTAAGGCTATTTGCAAAGTTTTTGAAGGGAAGCCAAGAGTACTGCATGGACATGTACATGTACACATGGACACACTTAGGGACCTTAATGGAGATCTACCAGAGTATTCACAGGAAGGAATTATTTCAGTATACTGGAGACAGACCCAGAGAAATGAGTATCAGTAGCTGAGCTGCTTCAGTCAGCTTGGTGTGGTACCTGTGCCAGAAACATCATCTCGTTCATGTGACTCCACCGACCTTTGCAGAACAGTAACCTACAGAAACAAGATTAGATATTGGCACTGAACATTTCACTTTTATCCCAAGTTGCAACAGTCAAGAACAAAACTTAAAAAGTTAAAATGAGATATACAAAAGAACCTTACTTCTACCACAAGACAAGGAAGACATTCACGAGTGTAATGTCCATGTTGAAAAGTTTCCTTTATCATGGCTGAGTTTTGCCATTTCTGCCTCTATTTTTTTCACTGAAACAAGTGGGAAATAATTCTGCCTTTGCTGGCTTCATTAGGATGAAAATCAGCACCCTCACCAGGAAAAGGAGCATTTTGGGGACAGAGAGGAGAAGAGGAAGGTGAAGATGATATTTCCTTCTTTCATACTCCTTGTCTCAGCAAGACAGAGAAACCTGAAGCTGCATTTATCAGCACATTCATTCAAGCTACTGAAACAAGCCTGGGATAAAAGCCAACTATAAAAATATTGAAAAAACTCAACTGTTGAACTGAAACTCGCTTAAAAAAAGGAGGCCATGAGGGAGCAGCTTATAACCCCAATACTTAGCTTTAGGTCGATACTACATAATAGGTCTAATTTCAGAACTACCCTAAATCATGGAATTTTAAAGCTTCTGCAAGATTTTGGAAAGACTTCAGCAGTGCAGAACAACCCCAAACAATGCAGCATATTTCAGTCTTTTTCTGCACTTTATTCCAATACAAATCCTATATTCCCATCATAGACTCTGTATGTCCAAATCATTCATGACTTTAAGTAGGTTCAACTACACTGCACTAGATATGCACTACCATTTAATCAATTTAACATTGATTCTGACATATGCAATACAACATTGCCTAGAGGGGATGGCTCTGCTGCAGTCTTCTGCTGCAGAATCTGCTGCAGCATCCTCCACACTTTCCTCTTTACTGAGGCCCTAAGAGATAGGCACTCTGAGATAGCTGATCTTCAAACACTGCAGCTGGTAATTTTCTTTCTGTGGTGTTATCTCCATCTTCTCTATGACCATTTGCCAGATGACTTCAGACTCCTGTCTGACATTCAGGAGGCTGACCTGGAGGTATGTTGTGAAGGTGGAAGGAGACTGATGCTACTTTCAGTGTGCTTGTTCCTAACATACTAAAACCTGATGTTGCTATAGATCCCTCCTGCTTTGGGCTCATTTAGCAACTTTTGACTTGCAGGACAGATTTGGTCTGTGCTCAGCCCCTGGGGTACAGATACTCCTGTGACAATCAAAAGCAGAGCTTTACAGAAGAAAAGAACTTGCCTTATGTGGAGGCTCCTTGTGAAAATACGTAACTTCTCCTTCACCTGTTCCCACTAAAGCCAGAAGATGTTGAATTTTGTTTCTGTCCTCCAATTCCCTGGAATTCAAAGGGAGTGGTCAGCAATTTTTTAAAAAATACGTTAAGGCATTGTGACACACTGTCCTTTCAGTTTACTTGTTAAAGCTTGCAAGTCTTCCACACTGCTGCAGTTCTTGAGAATATTGCTCCCAAAGACATTACTGATGTTGCCAATATAATAACACCACCAATCCTGCTGGGATTGGACATCTCTTTTTTCAAATGCGACAATACTACAGAGGCTGATACAACAACAGCACATGGTAGTAAAGAATTTGCATTATGAACTCGCTAAAATCCTTTCAGATTTTAAGTGTCCACTGTTTTCAAAGCAAACCACATTAAGACCTGTGTCAGACTTTTCATTGCACTCTTGAGAAGTGCCAAAGCACACTAACACGTTTTGACTTAAATTCTTAAATGTTTAACAGAAAACTTGATATTGTCACTCACAAATATTCTGAAGAAAAGTAGAAACTCCTTTCCCACTGGCAGCTAGTCTGGTACTACCAGCTATATTCCAGTTCACCAGCATTAAAAATGAGTGGCTACCATTATGACCACAGAGTGAGGGGAAACTATTCAGTTTGGTCAGTATTTTCCATTTGAGCCTAAGTGTTTTTTAGAGCTGAGGAAGTTCTGCCTGGCATGGTTTTGTATAGCAAGGTTTTGACAGCAGGGGCTACAGGGGTGACATCTGTAAGAAGCTGCCAGAAGCTTCCCCCATGTCCAGCAGAGACAGTGTCAGCCAGCTCCGAGATGGACCTGCCACCGGTCAAGGCCAAGCCTATCAACAATGCTGGTAAGTGCCTCTAGGATAACATTTAGGAAAGGGGAAAAACCTCTGTAACACAGCAGCAGCTGAAAGAGGGGAATGAGAACATGTGAAAGAAACAGTCCTGCAGACACCAGCATCAGTGGCAGAGTGGGAGAAGATGTCCAGGCATCAAAGAAGCGATTGTCCTGCAGCCCTGGTGAAGCAGGAGTGAACTTGGAAAGAAGGGGGAGGTGTAGGGAGGTGTGTCAAGATTTGGTTTTATTTCTCATTTCCCTACTCTGATTTCATACAATGATTTGGGTTGGAAGGGACCTTGGAGATCATCTAGTTTCAGTTCCCCTGCCATGTGCATGGACACCTCTCACCAGACTTTCACCATGTTGCTCAGAGCCACATCCAGCCTGGCCTTGAACACTTTCAGGGATGGGGCATCCACAACTTCTCCGTGCAACAGGTCAGCAGGAACTTGTTCCAGTGCCTCAGCACCCTCAGTGAAGAATTTCCTCCTAACGTCTAATCTAAACCTACTCTCTTTCAGTTTAAAGCCATCACCCCTCATCCTATTGCTACATGCTCCTGTAAACTGCCCCTCTTCAGCTACCTTGTAGGCCCTTACTTGTTCCAGTGCCTCAGCACCCTCAGTGAAGAATTTCCTCCTAACGTCTAATCTAAACCTACTCTCTTTCAGTTTAAAGCCATCACCCCTCATCCTATTGCTACATGCTCCTGTAAACTGCCCCTCTTCAGCTACCTTGTAGGCCCTTTAAGGGCTCCCTGGAGCCTTCTCCAGGCTGTCTGTAACACAGCAGCAGCTGAAAGAGGGGAATGAGAACATGTGAAAGAAACAGTCCTGCAGACACCAGCATCAGTGGCAGAGTGGGAGAAGATGTCCAGGCATCAAAGAAGCGATTGTCCTGCAGCCCTGGTGAAGCAGGAGTGAACTTGAGCTTGGAAAGAAGGGGGAGGTGTAGGGAGGTGTGTCAAGATTTGGTTTTATTTCTCATTTCCCTACTCTGATTTCATACAATGATTTGGGTTGGAAGGGACCTTGGAGATCATCTAGTTTCAGTTCCCCTGCCATGTGCATGGACACCTCTCACCAGACTTTCACCATGTTGCTCAGAGCCACATCCAGCCTGGCCTTGAACACTTTCAGGGATGGGGCATCCACAACTTCTCCGTGCAACAGGTCAGCAGGTTTCCTCCTAACGTCTAATCTAAACCTACTCTCTTTCAGTTTAAAGCCATCACCCCTCATCCTATTGCTACATGCTCCTGTAAACTGCCCCTCTTCAGCTACCTTGTAGGCCCTTTAAGGGCTCCCTGGAGCCTTCTCTTCTCCAGGCTGAACAGCCCCAACTCCCTCAGCCTGTCCTCATAGTCAAGGTGCTCCAGCCCTCTGATCATTTGATTGGCAAAAACTTCCCCAAGTCAAGTCTGTTTTGTAAATCGTGAGTGATCTCTCTCTGTCCTTATCTTGACCCATTAGCCTTTCATTGTATTTTCTCTCCCCTGTCCAGTGGAGGGGCAACAAAGCAGCTTGGTAGTCACCTGGTATCCAGTCAGGCTCAACCCACCACAGTCAGCTTCAATCAGAACTTCTGCATTCAAACTGGTAACTCACAATTCAAATCTGAACCTATGTTCAACTTCTGCTCTCCCTTCTACTACCGGAATAGGAGGAATAATAACTGGAAACATATTTAGTAACCCAAGAGTTTGCACTGCACCTCCAGGATAGGGGAGGGTGGCATAATTGCTTCTCTGAAGACCCCAGATCTGAAAGAGAACTAGAACATAGTGCATGCAGTTGCTCCTGCCTGTGCCCAGCCCACCATCCACGAGAGCACACCTGAGCTTCAGCCGGTCATTCTCTGAGTGAAGACGAAGGACATGTTCCCTCTCCTGGAAGAGGAAGACTTGCATATCACTCAAAGCCTTCTGCAACTCTGCGATCTCCTCCTCTCGCTGATGGACTTCCCACTGCAGCTTGCGCTGAGTAGAGAGAAAGAGGAGCTTGAAATGATGCAGAGCATTAGGCCACACTTACAAACTCCAAACTGCCTGTGCCCTGCACCTGTAACTGGCACAGAACAGCAGCAGCTCAGGTGAATGATCCGACCCTCTGAAGGAATTTGAGCAGGTGAGGGCAGCATTGGAAAAACGATTTTAAACGATTTCAGCAGGCACTCAGAGTCCTGAGAGTCCTTGTCACTACACAACAGGCAAATGAGGCCTCAGCTAGGGGCTCCCGTTTCCAGTGACTGCACTTCCACACTGGTGCTCAGAGTGGCACAGATATGGGGAGTCTGACACCAACAAACACCCAGCAAAGCTCTGCAATAACACTCACTTTAAAATAAATGGCCGACGAAGAAATGTTAAATACCTATATGGTTTAGCAGTGAGAAATCTGGCTAGTTCCTAAGTTTCATTAATGATTTTCTGCCTGTTATGACAAATTAACAAACCCTCCAGAAAACCATTCCCATGTAACAGAAGGCACTGTTTTGGAACTGTCCCTCTTTGTCCCACATGGAAGTAACCCCTTACAGCACCTACTTCCCCAAGGACTTTCAGGCTGCTTCAAGCATGGCCAGTACTTGAGGAGACACCTGAATCACCTCAGAAGTGATAAGGCTATTCCCAAAGGGCCATCCACAATTACACAGGTGACTGCTACACAGAGACACGCTGCAAGGTGTATCAGAGCACTGAATATCTTACAGACACTCTAAGATATCTTCCTCTTAAAAGGCAGATTTTTAGGTTTGGAGTTTCTCTTAAATTCTCATTTGTTTGCTGTGTGCTTTACTGTTTAATAGCTTACGGACAAGCTTATGAACTCCACTGTGGTAAATACAAATTATATCCATATCTCCAAGCCCATTAAATTGGGACC